ATTATTATTTATTATTTATTTTATAATTTATGTATTATTTTATGTATTGGAAAGATAATCTGAACTTCATAAGGATTAGATTTTATGATGTTATATTTGTCTTTTATTCAAGTTATTATCCTGAGAATAGTAATTTTACATTTTATTTGATAAATAAATTATCCATTTTAAATTATTAGATGTTAATTTGAATAAAATTTTGTAATGGATATTTAAAATAGTTTTTCTCTATAAAATAATTTTAATATTAAAAAGATATTGATACTTGCCTTTTTTCATAATTTAACTCTCAAAAGTATTTTTTTAATAGATTAGACAAATACAATTTACTTATTAAAAACACTATTTTTAAAAATAAGTAATTTTTTAACAACAATATTAAACAGGTGCTTAACACAACACATGGGATGTTAGAAAGAATATGAATAACTGATGTATAGTTTTGCTTTGTTTAGAGGCATGAGTGACTATCACCATTCTGGAACTGTTTGACAAATATAAAAAAATAATTTAAATAAGTAAAAAAAAATGAGTTAAAATAAATTAGGAAGTGTTTGGCAAGATAAAAAATAACTTAAAATGATTTAAAATAAGTCAAAAATAAAAAATAGATCCAAACGAGCTCTCAGAAGGTGTACTCTTTAGGTGTACTGTTCTTCAATTGGTATGACGTATGACAATATTTTATAGTTTATTGTAAAATAAAAATTAATAGAATATATAATAAATCCATAAAATGAATTAAGTGTGTGTTCGTATGGATGAAAATATTTTTTTTTATTTTTAGTTGGTCGAAAATTTTGAAAAATAATTCTTTTAAAGAAAAATAAGTTCCTTACCTATGAAGGAAAACACTTTTTTAATAAAAGTTAGAAAAAATAAACTTCATAAATAACATTTTATATTGATTATTTCCTCTCCTGGCAAACAGATTGAACTCATATTCATCCCATCCTCCTTAATTCACATCCCCACCACCTTATTACCCTAAATATTTTTCTAGATCATATATATAAAAAAAAATTGAAATAATATTTTTTAACTTAGACACCACAAAATAATAAATAAAAAACTTACTTATTTGTTAAAACATATTTCCTTCTTACCAAACACACCCTAAATCACTACTAGCCCAATAACATCAATTAGTGGCAATGGTATAATAATTCATATATACATTGGCAGCACTATTAGCGTAAAGTGGTTCATCCGAATCTCTTTTATAACCTTATATTATAATATTATGGGTCGTTTGATGTGAGGGATAAAAATAAATAGTGATGGGATTAATTTTTTGTATCTTATTTGCTTGCCATGTTTGGGATAATTTATCCCACCATTTATATCATAATGATGGAATAAGTTATCCCATATACATGGTGGGATAAGTTATCACAAGATAGCTAACCCTAGAATAACTAATCCTGGGATAACTTGTTTCCAACCAAACGACCCCTATATATATTCAAACCTAGTGAATGTAAAATTATTCAAATCAATAACTTTTAGTAAAAATAAATAATGGAAAAACGTGTGCCATTAGATAAAAGTTTAAGTTTTACATATTATTTGGATAAAAAAATATTTTAATTATTTTTAGTTGTTGTCATGAATTAAAATCTCAAAATTACTTACAAAATAAAATAAAATAAAAAGAATTTTTTAAAATCTCTTATTTATAAAAAAAAAAAAAAACTCTTATTTTGGTGCATACATTTGTCATGCAACCAAACACTCTTCACTTCTGATACTCCAAATCACTAGACTGATATGAAGGCACGTATTTTTAAATTATACAAAGTTAAATAGATATTGTTTAGCACAAATATATCCTTATTATCCATTACTTTAATCTAAATTTACCTTTTACTTTTTGGAAAAAAAAATCGTTATTGTTTATGCATTTTAATATTAAAATTAAAATATTAAGTACATTTGTTAGTGGGCGTCTGATATATCCATCAACTTTGTCATTTCGAGTTGATATACCCCTCGTTATGAAAGTGACTCATATATACCCTTACCGTTATACAAATGACTCACATATACCCCTACCGTTACAAAATGAGCCCACATATATCCTTCATTTAACGGAAGTGAAAAATTAGTTTTAAATTTATATTTTTTTACTTTTAATTTAAAAATGTTCATGTATTATATATGATCCTTCTAGCAAAATTCAATTAAAACTAATTTTTTTGTGGCTATATTATAATTTAGAACTATTTTTTTCGACTATATTGTTACTTCAGTTTTTGTATTTGAAAAAAAAAATGGGTCATCCATAATAAATTTAACAAGAAAATTAGTGAAACATAAATAAATTTGACCATCAAAATAATAAATTTAAATTAGTAATTGAAACAAAATAAGTTAAAAAATATGTGTGAGAAGGATTAAATATACCCATATGAGATTATATTTTATAAAAAAATAATAATTAAAAAATCAATTTTTTCACTTACATATTAGAGGAAAAACGCATATTTGAGCCATTTGTATATCAGCAAGGACATATATGAATCACTTTAACAATAAAAAACATATCATCTCTAAATGATAAAATCAAGGGGTATATCAAGTCATTTTCCCTTATTTTAATTTAACTCCAATAACCACGCTTGATGGTCTTAGTAAGGGGTTACAACAACATATCGAAACAACACTCTAATTGTATATTCGAAAAAAGTATAATTTCATTTAACAATTGAATTTGTTTTTTCTTAAATAAACAATTGAATTTGTGAAAATAGGTTAGTGGGTTAATATCAATCAAGTTTATTTCCTTTATTTCTTAGGCTAAAATAGCAAGGTTGTGATTTCGTACAAAGACATGATCTTCGAAAATAAGTGAAAATAGTACTACTTCCTTGTTCTTAATTATTTGTCCATTTTTCCTTTTTTAGTTATCCTTAATTACTTGTCCATTTTGACAAATCAAGAAATAACAAAAAAAAAAATACCAATTATACCCTCAATTAATTACTTTGAAAAAGATAGAATTTCTTGAAAATCTTAAATTTTAAATTCATCAACTTCAAAATTAATAAGGGGTAAAATGGCAAACTCACTATGTTAATAATTGTTTTCTTAATAAGTATATCAATTCAAAAGTAGACAATTAATTAGGGATAGAGCAAGTACAAGTGAGGAGGATCTTAGGCCTCTTTTATGAAAAATACTAAAACATGAAAGAACAAGATAACAACTAAAAGCTTCTTGAGATTTTCTCTCATGTCATTCTTCTTTTTCTTTTTTTTTTTGCAAAGCCTTTATAGCTAGGTGTAAAAAAAAAATGAATTGTGATCTCAATGTGAAACACAATACACTAGGGTACTGAAAAGACTATCTCATAAAATGTGTCTACATTTGACATTCTGCTTGAATCAGATTGAAATGTGTGAGTCAAGATTGATTGTTGAGCTTCCGATGCTCATTATAACTATTTGTTATAAGTCGATCTTCTCCGAGTCATCTCGCGAATGTTCGATTGTGAGTAAATCCCACTTGAAAAGATGTTCAAGACTTCTTGCAACATTTCTAGGAGAGTTTTTTTATTCTCCCCATATCATCTGCAGACATTCCTTTGTATAATTTAATCTTACTACGTGTCATAATGTAATTCATTCTTTCCACTAGATCTGAATTTTGTCCCGTACATTTTTATTTTTATAAAAACTCTTATCAACAAACTAATTTAATGATTGACAAGTGAAAATGCAAATATGCTCTTCATTAATAGTTTAATATATTTTTGATTTATACATATTTAACATTTATTTTCTTCCAATATCTTTAACAGTGCCAAAAGTTCAAAATACCTCCTACAAAAATTATTCTTGCAAACCACCCGAGTTTAATACTTTAATTAGTTGGGTTAATTATATTCAAATAAAATGATATATATATAAAAAAAAATGACCTTCGCTTTAAAAAAAAATTGGTTCTTTGGATCCATTGAACATAAAGTATGGGCATAAATTAGTTTTGTAAATAAGTGTTGCCATATTAATAAGTCACAGTGAACTTGCTCAATTAATTATAAAATTTATCTCTACCTTAATATTCAACCCTTATGATATTCTATGTTAACAATATATAGTTCAAATATTGTTTTGCAAATGACATGTTAATTGTATTTTTTTCCCTCTCCAGCATATTAAACCTTATTCAATGCTCCTTATTTTTATCTTCGTTTCCGTTTATCTCATTTTCAACCTGGCACACTTCTGCCCTTCCCTAAATTTCCCATTTATCTAAATTATATATATAAATATGTTTACAATACTATTTTTTTTTTACTTATTGAACACAAAAAAATATATTTAAAAATTATTATTTACTTATTTTTCAAAAAAAAATTGAAGAAACATTTTCATTTACACCCTAAGAAGATATTTTTTTGCCTCGTGCTTCGTTCATACCACAAAATGAAATTATTATTATTATTATTATTATCATTATTATCATTATTATTATTATTATTATTATTATTTTGCGAGTGTCAAGATTACTTTCCTCCTTTCCCATCCATCTTTATCTTCCCATAATAATTCAATTCATTTAAAAACGATTGATGGGCACATCTCAATTCTTCTCCTTCATTCAAAACAAAGTTTCCCTTGAGATATTTTTATGCTCTCGATTTTCTACTTCTCAGGTCCTCACTCTCACACAAGACATGTAAGCCACTACTTATGATTATTACCACTTAATATTTTATATCGAATTAACTATTTGAAGTTTTTGGATTTCTATAGTAATTAAAATTAATTTATAATAATAACTGAATTCACGATCAAATATTTATAAATAAATTTTTTAATAGTGGTTTTTCTCCATGTCATATTTGTTGCTTTAATATTGATTAAAAAATATTTTAAATTGATTAGTCAAATTCAAATGGTTGATCTCGAATTCAAAATAAGCAAATTTTGAAAATTTAATTGAACAAGTTACAAGTCCATGAAAATATCTTGATATTTATGGTGAGACACAACCACAAATTTTTGTTCTATGTTAAAGGGAGGTGTATATGTCCCTATCATGTTAAGAGTTTAAATTGGTAGACATAGGACAAGTCATTTGTAACTAACTTTAGTTGTGTAGAACAAACTCTAATCAAAATAAGTTGTGTTTTCTTTAGTTGCAAGTTTCTTTTAATTGTTCTTCATGTTTGTTTAGATTAACAATTGCAGGGCATATCAGAGGCGGATTCAGAATTTTGAGTTATGAGTTATTGATTAGAATAAGTAGCTTATTGAGTTCTGGATAAATTATTTATACATATTAACTGGATTTCTTAACATATATATAGAGTTTTGGTTGAAGTTACTGAGTTCTGTTGAACGCGTAACAGATACTTATGGAATCACAAAGGGGTACTACTATGATTGAACAATCATTTGATTGTTACTCAGCAGGTTTTCAAGATTCTCTTGATGAATTGCCTGATTGTTTCACTATAACTGATCCCTACATTTCTGGTAACCCTATTGTGTATGCTTCAAGTGGTTTCTTGGAAATGTTTGGATATTCGAAGTATGAGGTGATAGGGAGGAATGGGAGGATATTTCAGGGGCCTAAGACTAATCGTAGATCGGTTTTGGAGGTTCGTGAGGCGATACGAGAGGAGAGGGATATACAAATTAGTTTGTTGAATTATAGGAAAGATGGGACACCATTTTGGATGTTGTTTCATATGTGCCCTGTTTTCGATGAGAAGGATGGGAGGGTGATTCATTTCTTGGGAGTTCAAGTTCCAATTTTGAGGAGACCTAAGCCATCTGGAGCTGGACTAAATTTATGCCAAGATGGAGCTGGCTGTCGAGAGTCGGTGCTTAGGTGTTATAGAAGGGAAGTTCACTCCATGAGCGTGGAACGGGCACTGTCTCTTGCATCGGGTTCAGGCTTGGATTTCACAGGTACACTTCGATTGAAAGATATGCTCCTGTAGATATATATTATATGTAGACTTTCCTCAGGTTCTCTCTCTTCACCACGATCGATTAGGTGAGAAAGGTTATGCAAAGTTTATGTTTTACATACAGGAACTGTGGTCATAGTACTCATATTGTGCCAGCCATGCAATTCATACTGCATTAGCATAATTGCTATACACTCTATAAAAAATGGCTCAATAAGCTCATGTGATTGTGGGGTATTTGCTTAGTTATTGAAAACTAGAACATATGCTTATCTAGACTTGGCTGTCTTTGATTCATTTCCTTGGAGTTTAACTTTTGTTGTTAAAAGAAAGATAACATAATATATGCATGGAAAATTCATCCCTCATAAGAAGAATGAATTTAAATGAGATTAAACGAGGTTATGGTGCCCAAATGAAAGGAATTTAGATATGTAGGCTCAATCATTCAGGAGAATAGCATGATCAATGAAGATGTAATGCATAGGATTCGAATAGGATGGATGAAACGGTGGAGTGTCACGAGAGTGTTATGAGATAGGACAATACCTAACTTCTTTTTCGTATATTCATCCTAGTCTCGTTGCTTATTGTGCAAATGATTGACGTTTTCCACAAACTTGTCTGTCGTAGGAGTAGATGTAGATGGACCTTGTGATGCAAGTGATCTAGAGAAGAGAAAATCCACTGCTGTTATAGACAACATACTGACTGTGCTGGTACATGATGGTGAATCAACAGGCAGACCAGTCCATGGGAAGAGACGTTCTCAACCTGGGACGGGTCAGCTCGGGGCATCCTTAAATATATCTCTTGGTAGAATCAAACAAAGCTTTGTATTGTGAGTTCTTTTCTTCATAGTTCTATACTTGCTTCACTTTACAATGATATGATTAGGTTCTAGATGGTTTTTGACACTTCTAGCGTTGTCTTTCTGTAACTTGTAGAACTGATGCTAACTTACCGGACATGCCAATTGTCTTTGCAAGTGATAACTTTCTGAAATTAACAGGTGGTAAAGATGTAGTTAATTTTTAACGCATTTTTTGTTTGTTTGAACGGCAAGTTTTCATCTTTGTTTAACTGATAGTTATTAACTGGAATGATTCTTTCCTTCACTTTTTTATAGGCTTTTCCAGAAATGAATTGCTGGGCTATAACTGTAGATCTTTTAGTGGGATGGACACAGATTCAAGCTCTCAATTTCGGGTAATTTTCTCTTGTAATTAGCTCTTAATTGCTCAATTTCGATGACACGTGATCTAAATTCAACTTTTTTACTTCTCTCTTTGCAGATAAAAGAATGCATCCAAAATGAACAACCGTGTACACTACGTATGTTAAATTACAGGTAGGCTCCTGTTCCTGTAAGTTATTTAGATGCAGAATGTTACTTCTCTATACTCAGTGTCTTGTGGTTACATATTTTCTTTTAGAAAAGACGGAACCTCATTTTGGCTTCACATTTCACCTGTCCGGAATGCTTCAGGAAAGGTAATATTACTTGACAGTAATTCGCTAAATGTCTTTGCATATCATCAAAATCTTCAAATGCCTATTTGAATGGAGATTCAGTACCGATGAATGAACTTTATGTATATGCACATTTCTTTGAGAACTCTTTCCCAGTACAAGCGAATACTGTTTGACACTAGGAGTATACTGGCGATTTACTGGAAGAGAAATTTGTTACCAGAAGATGAAGTCATTTGCTGCATATATAGTTGAATGAACGCAGCCTAGACAGCCGAAAATATGCCCTTAGGCTAGTCTAAATTTCAGCTCTCATCTTGTTATATCTAGTTAAGGGGAGCATCGGTAAAGTTATCTCCGTGTGATCTCGTTCGAGCCGTTGAGTCAGGATAGGTTGTCTACATTACACCCCTTAGAGTGACTCTACGTGAATGTGGGATACTTTGTGCACTGGACTTACTTTTTTTTCTTGTTATATCTTGTCATAATGGTTTCTGATTCTATTTCATTTGGCTCAATAGGTTGCATACTCCATACAAAACGTTATATAACGTAGTATCGATTTATATACCATGATTAGTTTTTGGCTAATGCTTTAAACCGAACAACCCCTAAGTCATTTTCTGCAGATATGTTAGAAAAAATGTAGCCTGCACCAACTTAGCTGGGCTCAACTGCTATCTTGTGAATTGTTGTTAATGTTTGCTGGTCATGATGTTTTCTGATTCTGTCCTCATTTGGCTCGATAGGTTGCATACTTTGTCGCTGTTGAGGGTGAAGATAATAACGAGACTAAGGAGAATCAGGGGTTGAGACAGCGTGGTGTCGTTGCTGCTGTAAAAGTTGCTGTGAGAGGCTTGTCAATGAGTGTGAGAACATGCTAGTTCTTGTACAAACTGGCTCCAGATTTCTTCTGTGCTGTTAGTCGCCACTCGCCACAAAGTCTCTCCTTTACAAATGTTACTACCTCACAGTTCTCGTTAGCACCAGATGAAATGCATACATACAAGATTATAAATAAGGTAAATATTTTGTTGGAGTGAACGTCTAGATCAAGCTGTCAAGCATCAGACATATAACATGTGTATCATCAGTAAAAAGGGTAGTCAAGTAGATTTGTTAGTCCTTTTTGTGCAAGACAGTTTTTACATGCTTTCATCTTAACTCGGATCCATTAGTTATGCATCTACGAATTATAACTCGATTTACATCTATGTAATCTATTACCTTCGAATCCATCAGTTATGCATCTACGAATTATTACTCAATTTACATCTATGTAATCTATTACCTTCATTCAAGTGTTTAGAAGTACGATATATGTTTACCGTATATGATTACGGATTATGGTATGTTCTTCAATTTGATGAAATGCAGACTTGTGTAAATTGTTGTACTGCTTTTGATTCTATTTTGGTCAGTATGAATTGCAGAGCACAAAAAATAGCAAAAATCTATACAATTTGGAGATGCGGGGTATCGATCCCCGTACCTCTCGCATGCTAAGCGAGCGCTCTACCATCTGAGCTACATCCCCTAGTTGATATATGTTGTTGAGATTGCTTAATTTGACAGTAATTTTTACTAATGGCATTTCTTCTTTTTTTCTTGATGGTTGCGATTTCATCCAACGTATGAGGTTACATTGGATAAGTTATTGTTGATGGTTGCAATTACATTTTACCAGCATTGTTGTCTTCACGAAACGTGGTGGCGCATTAAAATTTTGAAACTGTTGGAATATATTACAATATGACATATGATTTCCTCACGTATAACACATAATCTGAATTTGTTTATCCTAGATGCACGGTACTATCTTAAGTCTCCATATAATTTCTTCAAAACAACCTTGTCAATTAGTCAACTCCGCCTAGGTAGGTTTGCTAACATTACTATCTAACCGATTTCATGATTGACATGGTTTATATGAATGAATTTATATAGAACAACATGTTTAGTGAGGATTCATGTTCCAACCCCAATTGATTTGGAACAAATGTGTTGTTATTGTAACCTCATATCCACCAACAATATAAATGAATTATACACTATCAATTCAACTTTACATAATTACATGTTATAGATGATTTACTTGATTTTAAGATTATGAATCTCACATTTCATGAAGGATTATTTGTAAATGTCATTTTGGTAACAAGGGACACTTAATATTAGCTCAGAACTCCAATCTTCCATAAGTGTAATGAAAACCAAAATTGTGAATAAACAAGAACGAAAACCTGGAAAAGAGAGGACGACGAAAAAGAACAATGTAGTCATGACCCTTCAATTAGGAAAGGAGAGAGCTTTGGCAAGAACTCCTTCAAGAGTTATTAACATGTAAACAAACCAACTGAATACTTAGAAAGACCAAAAGTACCAAAGAATTTCAACTTTCTTTTACTAAAACGATGATCGAGTTTTAACTCAGACATCTTTGCATCGCCAGGTAACGAACCTGTATTGGATAGTAGTCAAAGAGTGGTGAGGAAAGGACTACAAAATGTTGCATGGAACCCAAGACTAAATGACCAAATAATTGTCAAGAAGCATCAACCATCACCGCTTGGTAGAGCTTCCAACAGAGTAAAACTTTAAGTCCCTTAACCACAGAGAATCTGTTGATCTTCAAATTACGAAGTAACTTTGCAGGGACATGCTCTTATGTAACAATGAACAATGAAGTAACTTTGCAGGGACATGCTCTTATGTAACAATGAAAAGATTGTTTTCGTGTCCATCATTGTGAACAATAGGCCTCAAAGGATCAATCTTCCATATGCCATCAACAACAAACTTGATCTGCATGAAAATAAATGAGAGGCTTGGTACATCACAGGATAACACAGTATGATATCAAATTCATTGCAATCAGTAAAACCTACCTCATGTCTGCCTGGATACAGCTTTAGGCTTAGAGAGAAAACACCCGTGCTCGATTTATCCATCATTCTCTGCATTTCAATGCATCGTGTCATGCTGCTAGTCAAAGTCAAGAAACTCCTTGAAATCAACATCACAAAGGTCGTACAAGACCTTTAGGGAAAGGGGAAACAGAGATGTGCAGTTTTCATTATTAAAAGACCACTGAGACATCATTCTTCAAGACATTTGATGCTTTAGGAACAACCTTAGTAAAATCGACTTGATGGTACAGAAAACTGGTTCCTCACCTAATTTCCAAGTGACTTTCTGGAAAACAAAGGTAAAACACTTTGTACGCCATCCTAATAAAGTTCTGAGCAAGGATTGAAGAAGTGCACCTTGACTATGAAGTCTCCATGTCACTAACGCTCTGTATCTGATATGGATTAGTAAGTTGAGAAAATCCTGAGTTTTGCTATCTGTCGTTTCATTTATGTCATAATTTGTGTGGAACGAAATTTAAGAATGTAAGAAAGACTTTTGAAACTTGTGATCTTAAATAAAGGTCTATATAAGATATCAAAGCTACCCCTTAAATTTTGTGGTCTTAAATATACCATGTTATTCCTATGAGGGAATATTATTAAAGGTGAAATGGGAATGTTCGGAAAAAAAAAAAAAACTTACTAATTACAAAGAGGTGGCATTTTGAAATAAACCAAAAAAGAAAGTAAGACACATTGATTGAAACGGAGGGATTATATTCAAGTTCTAAATATTCTTTCGTTTTCTTAAAAAGTGATCAGATACTATTGTGATTAGATCCATAGCTCTTCTTGCAAACCCTTCTTGGATCCCCCACAAACAAAATAAAAGAGGAAATAAATTATTGTGAAGGCAATAAGCCATGTGATTTGCTCGAGTCGAGTCAGCAAAGCATATTGCACTGGATAATAATTGGGTGTACCCCCTAAAAAAGAATCTTTAACTTTCCTGCTGTAGCCAAACATGACTAGTTGTGAACTTCTCTCACATTGTCCACAAGAAAAGCTAGATGTTGACTCTATAGGTGACACTTCTAGACTAAACCAAGCAGAAGATGATGTCCTTACAGTAATCATTGGTAACACATCATCTTCATCTTAAACAACAAAAATAAGATTAAGTTGGTCTGGACGATCACATTAGACGAAACTATGCTTGACGTTTTGACAGTAAAGCGGTGTCTCCTATTTCCTATCATTGATTTGGAAGCAAGATGAAACCTGAGTTGTCCATCCATCAAAAGAACCTGCTAGAAGAACCTCTGAGGCGGAGTTAGTCCAAACAATCCGAGCAGTACGAAGAAGCTGTAAAGCTTTACTAGACCTATCAATCCTCTTCTGCTTCTCGTCTAACATCTTCTGCGCATCACTGAAAATGTATGGTAGGAAAACTCAGTTTTGGTTAAGATATCTAGTCTAAAGTATACATATTAAGATGAATGAGACATGACCAGACATCATTGCAAGTGTCATTTTCCCCTCAAGCACAGCCAGCTTTGCACGAATCAACCTCAATCTCTCCCGGCCATTCATGAATTCATTCTCTTGAAACTCCCATGCATCAGAATCACTTGGGGAGCTTCCAAAAACCTAAGGAAGAAGCCGTGAAGTTACATAACAATACTAGAACTATGCCATTAAACAATACTCCCTTTCTCCCAATGTTTCTTTCCTTTTTTGTCTATTTCAATAAGAATGACTACCTTTCTATATTAATTAACTTTAAACCACTCATTTTACCTTTAGTGAGATGATTTATAGTCACAAAAATATCTATGGTTTGTTTTAAGAACAAAAGTTTAAAAAAACGTTCTTTCTTTCTTAAACTATGTGCTAAGTCGAACACCCTAACATGAATTGGGACGATGGGAGTAAATAGTTAGCAGAACTTTGTTTCCAATTGAAATGCCTATATAGTAAATATCTAAGCATTTTCTCTTTTAGACATAATCATTGAAGAAAATATTTTTGTAAATAATTCCCTTAAGGCATAGATTTCGCAAGAGATTTTGGGTCGGTGGTAGCCAATTCGAGTTTCCCGAAGAAGGAAGAGCACTTGGTTACTTCCGTAGTACGGTTGCTAAGACTCAGACAGACTATTTTCTCCTTAGGAAGGGTGATTAAGGTTTCTCTAAAGACTGTAAGTTTATCCCAAGTAAGAATCTTATGACCCAACATACTCCTAGTGATGAATTTGGAGATCAAGAGGGAGAGGAGGAAGAGGGTTGGGGATAATCGATTACGGATCAAATGGGTTAGCTTGACTATAACAAGTGCCCTGGAGATGGGGGAGAAGTTGATGGTATGGGGTCTTGGGGGAATAGTGGGAATGTGGACAGTACGTGGGATAGGACTGCTTGTTGCATTAGGGAAGTTACAAGAGATGTGTTGGGGATCTCGAGAGGCTGATTTCGTGGACATCGAGTGGACTGGTAGTGCAATGGAGAAGTCCAAGGGAAAGTGGCGTATGTGAAATTGGTGGAGAGTAAAAGCACACAAATAGGAGAGGTGTAAGATGGCGAGGAAGGAAGCAAAGTAGCATTCAATGCAGCAAAAATGACAGCTTTTGAATGTTTGTATGTAGAATTAAAGGACAAGGGAGGGGATAAGAAGTTGTACAAGCTAGCCAAGAGGAAAGAAAGGAGGGCCCGTGACCTGAACCAAGTGAAGTGCATCAAGGATTAGACGGCAAAGTACTGGTGGAGGAGGCACTCATTAGAAGGAGATCAAAGTCATACTTTCATAGACTTTTGAACAAAGATGGAGATAGAGGCATTATGCTAGGAGATTTGGAGCACTCAGAGAGGCGTCGCAATTATGGGTATTGTAGGCGTATAAAGGTTAAGGAGGTTAATGGTGTTAGTCCTAGGATGAGTAGAGGTAGAGCGACCAGGCCAAATGAGGTCCCGGTGAAATTTTGGAAGACTGCAAGCAGGAAAGGCATGGAGTGGCTGAATGAGTTATTTAATGTCGTTTTCAAGACGATGAAGATGTCCAAAGAATGGACATGGAGTACAATGATTTTGTTGTATAAGAACAAGGGTCACATTGAGAATTGCAATTACTATAGGGGTATTTAGTTGTTAAGCCACACTATGAAGGTCTTGGAGAGGGTGGTGGAGTTGAGGGTAAGGAGGGCGCGGCTATTTCTGAGAATCAGTTTGGATTCATGCTGGAGCGCTCAACTACAGAAGTCATTTATCTCGTAAGAAGACTGGTGCAGTAGTATAAGAAAAGGAAGTAGGACTTACACATAGTGTTCATCGACTATGTGAAGGTGTACGAAAAGTCCAAAGGGAGGTCCTATGGGATTGCTCAGAGGCTATAGGTGTACATCTGGTGTACACTTGGGCAATGTATGATGGAGTCAAGACGTGGGTAAGGACTATGGAAGGGAACTCAAAGCATGTTCCAGTTTTGATAGGGTTGCACCAGGGATCAACCCTTAGCCCGTTTTATTTACCTTGGTGATGGATACAATAACATGACAAATTCTAGGTGAGGTGTCATGGTATATGTTATTTTCGGATGACATAGTTCTGATATGTGGTGAAGCTAACGTTAAGTTAGAGGTTTGGAGACAAACCCTGGAATCTAAAAGGTCCAGGTTGAGTAGGACCAAGATAGACTACTTGGAGTGCAAGTTCGGTGATGTACAACATGAGGCAAACATGAAAGTGAGGCTTGAAACACTAGCAAGAGAGGAAATTTCAAGTATCTTGCGCCTATTATCTAAAGAAATGGAGAGATTGACAAGGATGTCACTCACCATATTGGTGCAGGGTGGATAAAGTGGAGGCTCTACTTTGTAGTTTCGTGTGATAAGAACGTACCATCAAAACTTAAAGGCACGTTCTACAGAGTGGTGGTTAGACCAACTATGTTGTATGGCGAGAAGTGTTGACCAGTCAAGAACTCTCACGTTCAGAAAATAGAAGTTGCGAAAATAGGGATGGTGGGATGGATGTGTGCGCATAGTAGGAGACATAGAATTAGAAATGAAGATATCTAGGACAAGGTGGGAGTGACTTCAGCGAAGAAAAATGTGGGAAGCTAGGCTAAGATGGTTCGGGCATGTGAAAGAAGAGATGCACGGATGCCCATGCCCCAGTGTGAAGTGTGAGAGGTAGGCTCTAGATGGTTTCAAGAGAGACAGGGATAGACCAAAAAAGTATGGGGTGAGGTGATTAGATGGGACATAGCGCAGTTTCAGCTTACCTAGGACATGCCCTTATAAGAGGGTGGGGAGGACTCAAATTAGGGTAGTAGGTTAGTAGATAGCAGTGTGGTGTCTTGTTGTCCATTCATATTAGTAGTCATATTGCTCCTGTAGTTTTCTCCAATTTTTGTTATTATTTGTATCATCCTTGTACCTCGATTATCATATTGTTTTGTTATGTTATTATTTGTTGATTCTTGTACTTCCATTACTTCTTTTTCTAGACTGCTTTGAACTATTTTTCCTTGAGTCGAGGGTCTATCAGTAACAGCATCCTACCTTTTAGGTAGGGGTAAGGTCTGCATAAACTCTATCCTCCCTAAAGCCCACTTTGTAGGACTATACTGGGTAAGTTGTTGTTGTAATTTCCTTTAGGCCCTTTGTCCTTTTCTCTTTTTTTATTTTTCCAGAATTGTGTTATTACCACATCAAAAGGTTTAAATTACTAGGAAGGGACACTTGTATGTACTTAATTATGTCTTAACACATCCTTTCACACATAGACCTAATTCATTTTCCTGAGTCAAGCATTTGGAAATACTTTTTGTTAATGGCAGGAAGTGAGACTTGAATCCAAGACCACTACCTGCTCTGGCTAAGATACCATGTTAAAGATTGTGAACCTCATATTGAAGGGGGATAGAGCAAGTTGGCTCAGACACCGCAGTTATCAAGAAAAACAAAAGATACAGATTAATACCTCCTTCGAACTGAACTCCTCACTCTTGGATTTCAATGAGCAGAGTGTCATAGATAGCTCAAGCTCTAAATGGTTAAGACGAATGCTCATCTCATTGTTGTTGCCATTTTTCGATCTTTGTAAGGCTTCAAATCTACTCTCAGTGATATTAACTGCATCATCTCCCGAAGCTTCGCTGGTACCTTCAATCCAACTTTTACCCAGAGCAACCTCAGCAGCTGTTCATAGCAGTAGTGAAGCAAGGTTACAATCTATAAACATAATTAGACACAAGAATGAGAATACCTTCAAAATCTATATCCTGAAGGCCTGCACGTTGTATGCTCCATTTTCTCCACCTGGCTGGGGAAACGCTGTGGTTAAGCTCCTCGTCACTTCGAATGTCTTTCATGGGGCTACCTTTACTCAGGCTATCATTTTTCCCTAGGTCAGTCCTGTCTTTTACAGTGTGACAGAAATGACATCTCATGATTAAGAATTAACTGCTTACAAACAAAATACTCAGGAATAAATATTTCTAGTTCAGAAACTTAGGAAAACAGTTTCAGATTCAAAGAAATATTAAAGATATCTAAGACATAGTACACAAAGGCTATAATGATTAAACAGCAAATCAATGCTGTAACTACTAGATTATTCAACCATTTTTTGATAACATGTCATCCTGCTTTCTGATTAAAAAATTTACCTGCATCAGTGGTTCCAAAGCTTCTATCATCTATGTTGTCCCTACTTGATGTATGAAAAGTATGTCCACGCTTTCCCAGATCAATACCAAGAGATGAGTTCCTCTCTTTTTCTAGTCGATTCAATATCCCTTCAATCCCGCTATCTTCCTCTGCTACAGTTTCTCTGTTGAGAAAGGAGAGGAAAGAAGATATCGATGAACGATTTTTCACACAACACCAAATATAACCCGCGATGAATAGCTAGGAGAGTAAATAGGTGGAGATAATCATTTAGAGACATGCTTCCTTGATTCTTATTTTAAGATTTTCGGTCATCGTGAGTATTATGTTTGTGTACTCTTGTCACTAATAGTACTGACTACTGAGCTACCAAGTTAGACTTTACTTCACTCTCTAATCCCATCTACATTTTTCTATTGAGTTGGCTAATTGTAACTATAAGCTACACCATTTATCAAGTCTCTGGTTCTATCCCTGTCAAACAAACAACCTCTAGAGCTAGGTGGAAAGGAAGCAAAGCTTTTATTTTTGTTTACATGTAGAAGGCAACTGTTAAAGCCAGTGCCTAATGACAAAGTTGAATCGAATAAAGAATCACATACATCAGATAAGATTTAGTAAAATTGCAACATGGCAGAACAAGCACAATTCTATATCCACAATATCAAACATAACATAAAAGTTAAGCATCATGTATCCAGAGTCTACTTGCCAACTAATCCGGATTCACGTAGGAAAGGTACATACCAAAAGCAAAGCAATAAAAATAACTAAAAGAAAGCATATTCCAGTGTAAGGAACCTCACATCAATCTACCAGAGGACGAAGCGGGCTGAGAAGAACTAGAATCTCCAGAACCAGTAAAATGAGCTTCATTCTCATGTAATAAATCACTCTCTTGACAACTCTTGACTCTATCATGGAACTCCTCAATGTCAAAATCCTTTTCCACAGTCTCAACCTCATTAACATTCACAGTGTTAGTGTCATCATCCTCAGAGTCCCAACCAAACGAAAACCATCCTCCTCTGTTCTTTATAGCTTCCACCAAATCCACTCTTCCAGCTTTTTCCAATTCTTTCCTTGTTGGAAAAACACTTGGGTTCTCAGATATCTCCATGAAAGCCAAAATCTCCTCTTCCAGCTCCATATCCCCTTCACTTCCCAACCCTTTCCTACACAAGCAATATGCACTATCCCCAACTCTTTTCTTGCTAAGCTTCTTAAAAACCTGAAAAGATCCCATATTTTTTCCCAATACAAGATTAAACATGGCAGCTTTTCTTCTGCAATGAAGTCTTTTTTGGGAATTTATGACGATTAGAGTGGGAATAGGTGAAAAACTCAAATGGGTCTGTATCAAAATGAGTGAAACCATCGTTCAGGCATTTCTTCAAACAGTTGGTGAACCTGAAGAAATAATTGTACTGTTGTGAAGTAATGATTGTCGTAATATTAAAAAAAGAAATGATAAACAAGAAGTAAGACTGGAGTCTTGCCTTTCCCTTCTATATTTGGAATATATAGCCATCTAGAAACCACAATTATCACAACAATACTAAAGACACTATCGCAATGACCAATCCCTGAGAATCATGGAATTTATACACTTAATTGGAAAGGACACGAGTGGAAAATGTAATACGGAAAATAAGGATGTTGTTAGTTGGGATCCATCGAACTATGGATATAAATTAAATATAAATAGGTCTTTTAACCATAACACAAAAATAGAGGGAGCAGGGGGTGTTTTGCGTGACACCAATGAGAATTGGATAGCTGGTTATAGTGCAAAAATTAATGTAAACTCGTCAACAAATGCTGAACTATCATCTCTATTACAGGTTCAACACTTGGAGATAGCAACTGACTAAATGGCCAGAAAAAATTGGCCAGAATTTGGCCAGATATGGACTTTTTTTAATTACAGGTTCAACACTTGGAGATAGCAACTGACTCACTCGAGGTAATTAACTTTCTTCAAAACGAAAGAGATACTCACACAAATATTTTAAATGAATGTAGGGATTTGATCCATAGAATGGAGAACCCCCAATCAGGCATGAGCCTCGAGGAAAGAATAAAGTGGCGGACCTACTAGTCAAAGAAGGCCAGAAGATGAAACCAGACAAGCTCTTTGAGGAATGGAGAGTTCCACCGTGGTTTGTTTGGAAGATATTAGAAGCAAAAAAAGTAAAAAGTTCTATTCCGCAAGCCTATAAACCTCAATGTAATTTGAATTGTAACCAAGTTATATGGCCTGATAACTCGTGTGCTAGCCATAATGCAGCCACCTCTGTTTGTATTGATACATAATACTAGTAATATAATATTTCCTCTTTTAACCAAAAAAAAAAAAAGACAATGCACTGGGATTCTGAGTTTACTTTAATGAATACTTTTAAGGGTCGTTTGGTTGAGTATATAAGAATAATGCAAAATATGGTGCATTAGTAATGCATGCATTAGTTATGCAAGCATTATTTCTTATATATTGTTTGGTTTGATGTATTAAAAATAACAAATCTTGCATAATTTCTATTAAAAAATATATGTTTACAAAAATACCCTTCACACTTTATTTATTTGTACACTTCCTTTGCAACAAAGTTCTTTGCTAAAACATCAAAAAAAAAATTCTTTGCTAAAACATCATTAACTCTTCATTCTTCTTTTTCTTTTTTTCAAAAATACTATTAAATAGCTATACTATTGAGTCAAAATATTTTTGTAAAAAATGGGCAATTTTTTTTTTTTTTGTCTACATTGAAAACAAAGCATTTAGATTGTCATCAAATACTAATAAAATATATGAAAGTAATGCAATCAACTCAAGAAAAAGATAGTAATTTACTTGTTCACATCTAATTATTACTAAATCAACTAAGATCAGATTCTTTTACAACAAAAAAATTCTACCTTCATTTTTTAATCATATTTTATGGATGATTTTATGTACTACTAATTAAGAAAAGCATAATGGATGTGAAAAAAGAATAAGTTTTGTTTTTTTGAGTTAATAAGTTGGGGTGAGGCAGTGGGCTGCTTAACATTTATCGTCACAATAGTAAAATTTTGATTAAATTATATTTAAATTAGATTTTTTTTAAAGATACTTAAGATGCCATAAAGTCTACTAAGACACCAATAAATTAAAAGACACTAAAAAACAAATCAACATAAAAATAAAAACCTATGACAACAAAGAAAATGAAAAGACTTTAAGGATAGTGTTGTAATTATTTAATCTAATGCAAGTGTTAAAATGCTATGCATTACTAATATCTAGAATTCCTTGATATTAGTAATACACAACTTAATACACAATAGAGTGTATAACTAATGCATGACATAAAAAAATGTATCAAACAAAATATTATTAATACACACATCTAATGCATGCATTATATCCCTAATACACTCTACTAAACGAACACCTATAGGCATCGAATGAGTATAAATGTATGATTCTCACACTTTCCCGTACATATATATATATATATATATATATATCCTACACTCCTTCCTCTACCCCTTCCCGAACTCAATTATGTACACAATGTGCCAATGCATACCTTTGAAAAATTATTTTTTTCGCTTAAAATAAATCTCTTTATTGAAGAAGATAATTTAATTTCACATTAATAATAACTACAAATGACTATCTTATCTACTTAAGATTATACTTAATTATTTTGCAATACAAATTTAGTAAAACATAGTAATTAAGCGTAGATTCAAAAAATTATAATTAAATTTTTCTTTAAATATAATCAACTAAATAGATTCTTCTATATAATGCATGTTTTTCAAGAGAAAAAATAATGTAATTTTGAAAGTTAGATATTTATTAAAAAAATAACTGACGAAAGACTTTTGTAACTTTTAATAACACGTTAATTTTTTATATTATAATCATTCCAAACAAGAATTAACATATATAGAAATTGGTAGAATTATTTCACTAATTTTAACAATGAATAAAAACTTAAAGTACTCATATAATACTAATTAAGAGGATGTTTCAAAAAGAATAAATAAAAGATCACTCAATACCTATTGATCAATTATAATACTTTAAAATTATAATACTTAAATTACAATATGTCTAATGTATGTAAATAAAGTATAGCATAATTAGTATATACATTTTTATAAAATTATTTTCATTTAATATAGAATTTTCTATCGAAGGAGACAATTAAAATTCATGTTAATAATAGACAAAAGTAGATTATTTTCCAATTAAAAATTATACTAACTACTCGGTAATACATAATTTAGTTGAATTAAGTATAATTTTCAAATTTACAATTGACTTTTCTTTAAATAAAATCAATGAATAAACTTATATAATTCTACCATGATTAATAAACATGTCATATAACGTGTGTGCTTTTCTTTTATGAAGAAAATAAGAATATAATTTTGAGAATTAGATGTTTTAAATATGAAAAAA